CCCCCCCCCACACACACACACGCAAGTGCCGTGGGGGCCCACGAGCCACTCAGAAAGCTCGCGCACGGATTGCCTACCCTCCAGGCGCTCTCAGCCACAGCACTTCCCTTCGCTAAAGGGGAGAGGGCGGGGCGGAGGTCTCTCTTCCATTTATGGCCGTATCTCATGACTCATGAGTGCGACAAGAACAGCAGTACGAAAAGCCCACGCGGAATCAGCCCACTGGCGTTGTCCCCTGCAACCATATACACAACGATGCACAGGTCGGGGTCCCATCTTGCCTACCCCCCAGGCGTCCTCAGGTTCTCCATGGAGATATTTGAGGCCGGGCCCTCCCACTGCGGCCACATATTACTGCATGTATCGAGAGCCCTAGAGGACCACAGCCCGGACACGCGCGTGGTGACCACGATATGTCGGTGAGTGTCCTCGTCTGATCGGAACTTCTGCCGTAATATTTCTCTCCTCACTGCGTCCCCTACCCCTCCCCTCCCCGGCGCCTAAATGGCAACGTAAACAAACCGTGAGAATTGGCGTCTTCTGCTCAATACCGATTATGCCTACACATCAATTTATCATAGGATTTTAATCAGAATTTTATGGTGGACAGCGCCGTTTTTCGATATTATTTGCAAGGTATACTGCTTGATTGTTTCCGGTCCGGAATTTTGAATTGCTCCATTCCGGTTATTGTTGTAGAAGGTTATAGTGTGCTCCAATGGGTACATTTTTACACGCACAAGTCGTAGGTTATTTTTTGAGGCCAGTAAATGGTGCCCGTGATGTAAACTTGGCTCACTGTCAGCTTTGTTTCAAAAGGTGTTGAATGGGTACACTACTCCATTCCATGTAGTATGTTAAATACTATTGGAGGTCATTTGCAAGGGTAACTGTCAGCTGGCTGTCAGGGTTTCATCATAAGCAATCATATATTTTACTCTATATTATTCTCGTGGAACTGAAACCTTTTTTACTTTCTGGTTGGGATGCAAACCAAATGGTACTATTTGCGTAATCCCCCAAACAATCAATCAATGTGCTTTGCAGCTAATTTGCAGCTGCCCTTGCCTTGAGTTGAGTGCCAAATTAGTTATTTGAAAAACCATGGTCATTTAGAGACGTATGGGGGGGAGGGGGGAGGT